ATGCAGTGTACAATGAGGGAAATTTTGACTTGGTAACAGCATTAAGCTTATGTTTCAAATCGGGCATATTATCATGTTGGTGTAATCTTTCAATGAAAATCTGTCAAAGATACAGATAAATCGTTCGAACAAATTTTGTTTATTAAGATACGACACTTATCTTATCTATATCGACATATTGGGCAGTTCACAGGGTCACAGGTCATAGGTCAACTCGTCCATGATCGGTTTATTAGGAGAGATAGTCATCTACTTAATGTCATGAAAGTTATTTATAGGCGAAATGTTTCCTTCGATAAGTTACTCATGTTTTAAACTCGTCCCATGATCATGATTGGTCTGATTTATCCGATCATGTGTCTCAATTATCAATGATTTTTGGAATTATTTCCTGATCATGGTCCTCAATGGTGGGCCTTATTTCTCTATTGTGAGCATAATGTGTCAATCATGGGTGTCATTGATGGGAATCATTTCTTCGTTTCCAAATCAAAGGCCTCGATCATTGGACTAGTTCTTTATCGGTGGGCCTTATATCTCGATAATTGGCCTCGATGGTGGGTCTTATATATCTATCATTAACCTCAATAATGGGCCTTATATCTCGATCATTGGCCTCGATGATGGACCTTATATCTCGATTATTATCTTATGGTGTTATTACTTCTTGATCCTGGGCCTCAATTTTCTATCGTGGTTCTAATCTTTCGATCTTTCTTCTATTCGTTTTTAAAGAATTTACAAGTAAGGTCGTGTTCAAATCAAAACACACGGTTGATATAATATTCTGCTATTAAACCGAGTCGCCTACATATTGTCGTCAGTATCAACTTACAGTGGTATAAGAACACATATTTTATTATTATCGAGCTAGATATCTTCCTGTTTCCCACGATACCAATAGGACAAACATCTGTAAACCATCAGATCACATTACAATATTAGGAATAATACTGAATATGGGCTTAAGAATGAATTGGTATACTACGTCGTACATTAAGGCTCCTTTTGGCCATGCAGTGTGCAAGAGGGGAAATTATGTTACACATTCATGAAATGGGGTTTTATATCCTACTGTTCTGTATCTTATTGGACTAATGAAATGAAATAGAGCTTTATATCCTACTGTTCTGTACCTTATTGTACTAATGAAATGAAATAGAGTTTTATATCCTACTGTTCTGTACCTTATTGTACTAATGAAATGAAATAGAGTTTTATATCCTACTGTTCTGTATCTTATTGGACTAATGAAATGAAATAGAGTTTTATATCCTACTGTTCTGTATCTTATTAGACTAATGAAATGCAATAGAGTTTTATATCCTACTGTTCTGTATCTTATTGAACTATAATGAAATGAAATAGAGTTTTATATCCTACTGTTCTGTATCTTATTAGACTAATGAAATGAAATAGAGTTTTATATCCTACTGTTCTGTATCTTATTGGACTAATGAAATGAAATAGAGTTTTATATCCTACTGTTCTGTATCTTATTGGACTAATGAAATGAAATAGAGTTATATATCCTACTGTTCTGTATCTTATTAGACTAATGAAATGAAATAGAGTTTTATATCCTACTGTTCTATATGTTATAGGACTAATGAAATGAAACGGAGATTTACGTCATAATGCACCCGAGATAGACATTGAGACGCAATTGTGGAGTAACTCGCATACGTCTCTGATCTTTGACCTTCACCGAAAAAAACATCTGAAAGGAGACCTTATTAAAAAGATAGCGGTATAAATTTATATGTCCTATTAGTAGATTAAGGCGCATCGAGTTTCACAAGAACGTGTCCATAGTCAACTGCCTTCAAATTTAGAGCCAAACTAAAAACATTGTCAACGGACTGTGGGTTTTGAGACGCAAATGTTAACTGCGTTTGTGTACGTCGTTGACCTTAACCGACAAAAACTTGTGAAAGTTCTCCAAAAGATAAGGGTATTTTTATATTTTGGCGGTGAAAGCTGTATCAAGTTTCACCCGTACGTGTCCATAGATAACAGTCGTGGGACCCTTGGTCAAATAGTTTTTCGGCGCAATTGGGAACTGTACTCGCGTCCGTTTTTTGCCTTCACCGACAAAAGTGTGTGAAAGGTGTCCAAAAAGATAACGGTAGTTTTGTTATTTTGACGATGAAAGCTATATCGAGTTTCAGTCGTGTGTTTTCGATGGCAACTGTTGATGTATATATTAGCGTATTCGATATCTGATCTCCAACTTTCACCCTTCTCTGGCTTCACGGTTGACAACACTGAGATTTTCTGTCACTACGGGCTACTGTTTAGAATAAAAAAAGAAAGAAACAACTATATTTTACATGGATAACAACAGTTAAGGATCCTTTCAACCAGCTTGTCCTTGGTCAAACCTCTTGGTATTGATCTTTCCTGGATTATCCGTACCCATTTACAGCTGGGTCGACTGGAATTATGAGGTCATTGGATTTTCACAAGCCGATCGAGATCGACAGTGGACATGTAGGTGGAGATTTCTTCATTGAGAAGACTCTGTTTCGAAAGCACTGTCCGCGGAAGCTGGTAAATTCGAAGAATGGTGCTTTGTTCAAAAATAGTGCTGGCGGTAGAGTGATGGCAGTCGACACACGTGACATATAATTTCATTCTGAAAATGCTTCATAAAAGCCCTCTAAAAGATGACACGCGAAAATCTGCCGATTCCCAATATGATATTAAAGGATTTATAGATGAAATTTGATCTTTGTACTGTTCGTATAACGGTAGTTTTATTCATACAGAGATTAAAGTCGCGTGGGGCTAATTATAGGGCTTAATTCGTGGCTTTAACAAAGGGTCTCTGGTTTCTTCGTTGTTCAAGCGACAGAAAAAGACATTTGTAGAGGGACCATATCGAAACATTTTGAAATAAGCGAATAAAGCGTCATTACTACATGGGGTTTAACAAAGGGAACACATCAAAAAGTTGGGTTTAATGGCCCTTTTCCTAGTTGGCGTAATTGTTAATTAAAACAAAATAGAATTTACCCCCTACCCCATATAAATGCAAGAATGATGCCCCGTAGTCCTACCCCACACACCTTTATGTAACAGTCTTAATTTCAAAATAATAGTGCCCCTTAGTGCATTCTCCCACTCTTACCCCCAATCCCAAATGACCATATAACAACACACGGTTTTAAAGTAGACGTCTGTTGAAGGGCCAATAAAACATCCATAATTTCTTGTCGACCTGACAGGATCGATTGCGATTTAATAGATTTATCCCCGCTGACACAAATAGTTGTCATGTATCGTCTCCCCGGGGACGTTTAAAATCGTTTTAACAAGGGCGTTTCAATGTCATTGACAAAGAGACGCAAAAAGCATGGCGTAATAACGTCACCTTGCTTCAAGCCATTTTAGTTTAAAAAAGTTAAATTGGTTATTGTCTTTTTAATTTGTATGAAAATGGATATATGGCTTTAAGCTATTTAAATGGATTAATTTTAATCGATGTTTTTCTGTTTATAGAACAAAGTATCACTTGATCGTACACGTTATTTTCGGTTTCCAGGCAAAAACAAAACACAATGGTTTTAGTCCATTGTTATTAGTCAATATTGTTTCTGCTGGGTGGTCGAAGATCATCAGAACGTAAAACGCCCAAAAGGTACAGAACAGTAGGATATAAAACTCTATTTCATTTCATTAGTCTAATAAGATACAGAACAGTAGAATATAAAACTCCATTTCATTTCATTAGTCCTATAAGATACAGAACAGTAGGATATAAAACTACATTTCATTTCATTAGTCCAATTAGGTACAGAACAGTAAGATATAAAACTCCATTTCATTTCATTAGTCCAATAAGGTACAGAACAGTAGGATATATAACTACATTTCATTTCATTAGTCCAATAAGATAGAGAACAGTAGGATATAAAACTCTATTTCATTTCATTAGTCTAATAAAGTACAAAAGAGTAGGACATAAAACTCCATTAAAATAATTCTAGCTATCATTATGACGATGCAATGTATGTTGAAAACTGAAAACTAATTTAAAATAGGAAACAAGTATTATTCATTATTTCCTGTTATTCAAAATTCAAAATCTGACAAAACGAACTATTGTCCTACATTGTCATACGAAACTACGTATAGTTCTTACTTGGAAATGATACAAACGAACGTACCAACCATTTTAAATCAGTTTCGACTAAATAAGTCGAATTTTTTTAATTTATATTTTTCAACTAAGCCTTCAAATTATATTGAAAGGTTTAGAAATGGCTTTAAATGTGATTTGGAGGCTTTGTTGAAATATTATAGGCTTTTTAAAAATTCGACTTATTAAGTCGAAACTGATTCAAAATGGTTGTGAACTATGTTCGTGTGTCTTATTTTCATGTATATGTAAGAACCATATGTAGTTTGGTGTGCTATATTGTGAACAGTGTTCCGTTAAGGAAATAAAACGGGAAATGATAATTAAAATTATATTAAAGCTACTATATATAGGTTAAAAAGACGAGTCCTGTATAGACCGAATTAAAGCCACACTATAAACGATTGATAAAGGGACAGGTTTGCCATCCGTTTGACCAATCGTAACTTAATCTAAAAAACGGGACTTTTTTTTAGCTAATCATTAATAGTGTTCACAGCTCATTCTCTCTCCTTCAGACTCTGCTTTCTAATTGAAGATTCTAAGGTAGAATTTCTTCTCTCCCGGTGATGAAAAATTCAGGTCTATCCCAAACAATAACCCAAGTGAAAGGGGATCACATGTAATCTCGCCCATAATTTCATTACAGAGAAATTTAACGAAATTAAATCCAAAATTCGTTAATTGTATAGAATAGCTTTTCTTTAAGTACGTTAATAAAATAAGGAAAGCTTAAGAGACTGGAATGCGATTTTTCTTAAATTCAAGTAGTAGAATTTGGCTTCAGTTCATTTCAATGTTATTATTTTCAATTTCAGACAAAATTTAACGCAAGGAAAGTGAAAAACGCATCACCATGGCGACAAACTCAGAGAAGTTCATATTTTCAGTCATAACCGCAGTGATACTGTTACTCGCAGTCGGATTGGAATTAGGTGGATCGTTTGTGCCGCGTTGGGCGCGACCCATAAACGGAACGTCGGAAGAGAACGGAGGGAATACCAGTTTTTCGATATGGACGAAACGCGAGTGTTGGAATCATATGTGCAAGACTACGTTGATCGAGGTGACGTGGACGTTAGAGGAATGTACGACCGTAGACGGACGCAAAGGAGACTGTTATACAAAAACCGGAGTAAAAAAGAAACCGAAAACGGAGTGTTGGAACGTGCATTATTGTAATATAACATGGCATCACGAAGAAGGTAAGTGGTTTGTGTAGGGGTCGCGATTAGGGCTAAAGGGGAGCTCAGAGCACCACACACCAGTCTGTATTTTGGGAGCTTGACAACGTTTCACTAATTTACATTAGTTTATCATTATATAGTATACTACTACTGACTTTCATAGCCCACGACGTTTCTACAATTTACATTATCATCATCGATTTATATGGTATACCACACATGAGCTTTAACGTACACAACGTTTCAACAATTTACATTGTTAACATCAGGGTATACTTCTCCTATTGGATTATATCGAACACAACGTTTCAACAATTTACATTGTCATCATCCGTTTATATGATATACTACTCTTGAGTTTTATTGTATACAACGTTTCAACAATTTACATTATCATCAGTTTATATGATATACCACTCCTTAGTTTAATTGTACACAGCGTTTCAACAATTTACATTGTTATTATCAGTTCATAAGGTATACTACTCCTTAGCTTAATTGTACACAATGTTTCAACAATTTACATTATCATCATTTTATGTGGTATACCACTCCTTAGTTTTATGGTACATGTTTCGACAATTTGCTATCATCAGGCAAAAAAAAAAACTCGGATTATTGTGCCTTGTGTTCTGTTATTTAATGTGATCTCTACCCAAAATGTATGTTCCGATTAAATTTAACATGGAACTCGGCAACCGTTCGGTCTGTTGCCTTCAATTTATACGCTGTCTCGAACTCGCAGCACCTAATGGACAAATAATATCGAACTCTCCGAGATGTTTGCCGTTTAATTTAACGACTGGAGAAAAAGTTGATTTACATGATTCGCGAATTTTCTGCTTCTCTATTAAAATCGCTTCATGAATTTCTAAATCGTCGATTCAATCAAAATGCAAATTTTTAATCCGTCGTAATCTGAATTCATGGGGTTATTTCAATGTTAAAATTCACAAACAGACATCAAAGCACATGGAAACTCATGTTTAAAGATCCTCTGCGATTCGCTTCCAGGAACCCAGACGGAAACGACCTTGTTGTTACACGTTCGTACATGATTTATTCAATTACGTTCATGTAAATTTTTATTATACAGCGGAAGTTTAGGTAATGGTTGAAAATGTTGTTTTTAAAAAGAAAAGGGGAATTTTCTCAAGAACGCTCACAATGAATTGAAATGGAGTTTTACATCCTACTTTTCTTCTTCAGGAGGGACTAGTGAATATCGTTAACGCCTTACAATGTGTACTCAGGGAAATTTGCAAGGACTGTTATACTTGTTAAAAAACAGGGAAAATTTAATCAAAACTGCGCATAAATTTACGAAATAAATTGACTGACGTTTTACGTCCTACTTTTCTGTTCCTGATCGGACTAAATGAAGACAGAAAACGTCTTAAACAGTGTACAATGAGGGAAATTTGGCAAGGTTATGTTTGTATAAATGGAAGGAAAATTTAATCAAAACGGCTCACAAAATTTTGAAAAATGAAATGAAATGTAAGTGTACGCGCTTTTTTCTTTGTTTGGACTAATGCAACGCCGTACAGTATGCAATGAGAGTATTTTTCCAATACAATGACATAAGCTTATTCTTTGCAACGGTTTATTGTCCCATCTGAACGACTGAACACAACGCTACAATTTTGAGAAGCAAGTATGTCCATTCTTGAGTGAAATTCCATATTTCGATTCCTGCAACAGATTTTTAGAATATACCATTCCATTTAAGCAAAGGCTCAACATTTTTATGGAATTCTTAAAACTTCACAAGTCTCGATTGGCATCCAAGTGTCTGAATTTATGAAAATTGGTTTTGAAGATCTTGGTTCCTATTCAAAAGATTCTGAGTCATTCAGAAATATCAGATTTGGCAGTTTAAAAACGTCAAGAGGGTCTTGTCTAGCAGAATACTTCAAAGTTCTTAGATTTGGCGTGGAATAAAAGCGGTTGAATGAAAAGTTGGATGAATGAATGAATGAATGAATGCTCACTTCAAACGGTTTGAATTCGCTTAAAGAGATCACTGCTTAAAGAGATTGTAAACAGGTTTTCTAAAAATTTTATGTGTATCGGGGACACTGATAGCACCAATCTGCACCATTCCAATTTTCATTTCGACGTCTTTAGATCCTGCAATTCCACTAAAACTAAAAAGCATTTGATGACGTCACTATTGCAAAATCAGCTCATAATACCTAAAAGCCTTTGCAATTAATGACGTCATAAAGCGCTAAGTTTAAGTGGTATGACAGGAACCACAGACGTCTGACTGTAAATTGGAATGGAGCAAATGGATGCCTGTTGTTGAAGGCTATGTTTCTGAAAAGCTCTCTTACAGTTGGCGAACCAACAATCAAAATTCTCCAGATGAACACTTTCAACGTAAAAGACAATTTTATTCTATTGCATTTCATTTCCAATGACTGCTCAAGTCTTTCAAATGGTATTCACTGACAAAACATGCATTTCCGGAGCACTCATGAACTCAATGGCTTGTAGAGAAAATGTTTTAATGTGCAATGAAGGTTGTAATTACATCGTATTTTTCAATAGTCAATAGACAAGACCATCGTTCACTTACAGCTTGCTTCAGGCCACTCTTTTACACTACAGTTTCATGAGTTTTATGGAATGAAATAGAGTTAATCCTCACTTTTCTGTATCTTATTGGACTAATGAAATTGAGTTTTATATCCTACTGTTCTGTATCATAAGGCGTCATTTACGCGTGCATTTATTTGACCTATATTTCAAATTTAAATGCTGATCTCTTAATAACTTGAAACTTAAAGTGAATTGCAGAGGAGTTTTACATCCTGGGCTAAAAAAAAGACGGGAAAGAATCATAGATTGCAGATTTAGATTCTATATAAAACTTGGCGCTATGTATAGCTATATCTCAAGGCAAATCTCGATAAAACCAATGGAATGCCTGCTAAGGTTGTTATAGAACCACTTATAGAAATTAAAACTGCCCAGCCGAAGGCTAATGTCTTTATATGGTGTTATCAGGCTGCACATTTCTGAAGTTCTAAAGACTTTCGTGACGATGCCAACGGTTCCTGCTTTTATTTAGCAATAGAGAAAAAATAATACGATTCTTAAAACGAAAGCTTTATTCAACCAATTTTCTTTTTATTTCTTTTATTTCAATCTAAAACATGCTCTTGGTTACTTCTGTATTTGTCAGATGTCAGATGTCATGCATCTTGGTATTGGTATTTGGTAATATGTTACCAAAGGCTCAGAAAGGACGAAAAAAACGTACCCTTGTGTACTATACGACGTACACTCTAAAGGATTGTAAAGAGATTTTCCAAGTAAATTGAAAACGCATTAATGATAGCATCGATTTGAATCATTCCAAGTTTAGAGAAGACCAATGCTACTGTCCTGTTACAATTGTGATACATTTACACAGTTTTCCTCGTACCTCACTGCATGGCTTTTTCCGCCTTCATTAGCAAAGCTGGGGTAAAAAAAGTATGCCGTAGTGAACAATTCAGCTGTCATTTTCATAAGGTCACCTGAAGCAGAAACGCAGGGCGTAAAACTCTATTTCATTTCACTACATGAAGCCATCAAGAATGTATTGGAAAACACCGATTGTACAAATCGCCCGCCACACAGCTAGCGGAATTAATGAGGCTGTTCCGGACTCATGGACCGGACCACTGGATCTTGTCAGGTGTCTGCTACAGCTTCCGGTCTGGAAAGCTTTCCATAGATAAAATATAGTTTTACGTCATTTGTTTTCACTCCATCTTTACTACAAGCAGCCACCTAATGGGGCGAAGATGAGTCACGTCATGCAGTGTGCAATGAGAGGTATTTTCTTCAAATACTCTCGCTCCAACTTATTGAGATGAAGATTGGTAAAAGTGCACCCCGGAGGACATTGTGACAAGAATACAGTATTAGTCTGCTCTTTTTTCGACGTGTAACTGGCATGCTATCTTGGTGTGTACAGCACCGGCAACACCAAACACTGAAATCCACCCACCCCACCTTCTGTCCCATATCTCCCACCTATCCAGTACCCACTTCCACAGTGGCACACCTGTTAGATAGCTATAATGACATTAGCCACAAACCATTGTTTCAGTTTACCAAATCAATCCTGTCGGCAGCTTGAGGTCCACAAAAGCCTTCCTCCCACCCGCATAACATTGGACGCCTCTCCCCATTCCACTACCCCCTTCCACAGTGGCACACCTGTCAGATAGCTATAACGACAATAGCCACAAATCATTGTTTCAATTTACCGAATCCTGTCGGCAGCTTGAGGTTTATCAATATATTCTATAGGAGGTAGTCGACCGTAAAACTATTTAATGGGAAAAATTCGCAGAGTAATTAATTTCCCCATAAACTAAAATATTGAATGTGATTGAAGTTAGGTCTTTATGCCGAGGGGATCGAGTTTTATTTCTGCTACGAGACGTTTCGCCTCTTGAGAATTCTGACGAAACGTCTGGCTTCAGGAGTTTTCACGCCATTATCGGAGTTGAAGCATTATTAATATTTGAGTCTAAGCAAACATTAGTATTGTATTGAATAGGCCTGTGTATATTCAATCGTTTACACTTTGGTGGACAATTTTCTGTAGACTAATTTCAAAGAGTTGCAGAATTGTTGGTGCCATTGTTCTTAATACAAATTCCAGAGGATCAGAAATAAATAGAAAATGACCAATTGTTGTAAGATGTTTTTTTTTTGTCCAGAGATCGACACCAGTCTACCCTTTTGATGGGCCTTAAACGTGCCCATAGCACACAGGGTCTTGATCTTTTGTTCCATCCGAACGAACAGGCTTTTTTCCATGCACTCAATCTTGGAGAAACACCAGGCATCATGTCAGGCATACCCATTAGTATAAATCAACCATAACATTGCGTTTTAGTCCATGCTTGCCAATGAATCATCTTCAGTTTTGATCCAGATTTATGTGACGTTTGGTGGCAGGCCTCTCGTGACACAACCCATAAAGAAAGGACTTAGCTAAAAACCTTCCTAACTCCAAGCTTCTAATAGGACTAAATACACATCATCATTTTTTGCCTCTCAACGATGACAAATGCCTTCGTTCATGAGAGTTGTCATGGAGTTTTACGTCTGACTAATCCATTCCTTGTTGGACTAATGAAGACAGCCCACCTCGTACAGTGTGCAATTTAGGAAGGTTTACCATGGCTAGCAGTATTTAAGATGCAACCACCAGTGGCGTCACATCACCAGGCATTTGAGAACTCAATGATGAGATCGAGAAGGTCAGCCTCCATGACCCCTCCCAGAGAAACGCCACTAGCAATTCACCATGCAACAACTGTGCACCCTACCACTCAGAAATATTTGCCTCCAAAGGCATTTTCAGAAATTACTTCAAAAGGATGACAAGCATTCCAACGTCGCAACTCTTCACGAATACATTGTTCCATTTGCCGATATCACCGTGCAGTATCCAATGGGTGGAAACTTCAAACAAATACCAGAAGTATTTAGTCCGAAAAAGCTTTGGTGCCACAGTTTCACGCCCACAACCAGTTTTAGTGTTCCAAGTTCATTTTGCCTCGGATTACGTTTCTGAAATTTCTTTGTTAGCCCTAGTCAACTGCATTCTCTGACACATAATCAGGCGGGATTTCACCAGGAGAAGTTTCAAAGATAAAGAGTTTGTAATCGTCATAAACCAAGATTATTACCCTAAAAAATATCTAAGAATTGGTGGCGTTGATCATACAGTAATTGAGTTATAAAAGAATTAATTCTCGCCTCATTCAGAATCAGATTTGACCAGACGGCCTCGTGTTTGACGCGAGATTCCCGCCACATGGCCCCGCGCAATTAGTCTTTATTGCACGTGACTATAATTCTTTTTGATCTCCATCATCCAGACATTCAAAAACGTACTCAATTGTATAATGCTTTGATTATCCAGACGTGTAATCAAATTGAGATTTACTGAGATTTGAGGCTACAAAATTTAATGAAATTCTAAAACCGTGTCTTGACGACTGATAAGAATGTAAAATCAGTTCATGATTGTTCAATCCGCCATGTTGGTTGCTAGGTAAACACCCTAGAGGCAGCAGACGACCAGAATGAAGGTATCAATGCTATAAACAATTTATAAAATTTCTCCTCAAGTTTACATTTCGTTGTGTTCTGTAAAATTGGTTGTATCTTCATGAAATAACCAATGTTTTTCTTTGGGCTAAAGATCTTGTGG